AAGCGAAGATCACAATATTCTCACAGAGCATTCCGATTGTTCTGCTTTGGCCTTCTGCGAAGCTAAATTGAAATTCTGCCGTGCGTAGAGCGAATGCTTCTACGCGTTTGGAACGCGTGCGCGCGATTTCGATCCCGATGCTGTACCGAAAGTATTACCTCTGTAAAAAAATATATCGCATGAATATCGCTCGCGAATTCATCACGGGGGGAATGCCATCGGGAAATATTTTGTATCCTTGACGCGTGGCGAAATCTGAACGGCAGATATGCGTGTGCCCGATTAATCACATTCTCATTACGCGAGAATGCATCGCCCGAATGAGAAATTCGCGGATTATTTTTTTTTTTTCACGCTGATCCCGCCGCGCTCGTCCGGTAATTCGCCCGGACTATTTTCGGGTTTTCTGCCATTTTGGAGCCGTTCTCTCCGCCGCGAACCGGTCGTTTCGTGATACTCCAATATTCAAATGGTGAAAAAGGCCGCCGCGCTTGTTTTTCACTTCTCACGGAACAGCTGCGCTCGCGATACGGCATGTTATGAAAACAGCTCCCGTAATTTATACGATTTCGCGTCCAGTTTCGTCGAACGCGTAACGCGGATATATCTCTTATCTTTCCGAAAACTGCTGCATGATGCCTCTGAGACTAAAGTTGCGCGTTGAACCTCGTAATATAGGTTTATTTTTGACAGCTGTACAGATATAAGCAACAGTTTTCAAAACTTTCCGTATCGACGTGCTCTCCGCTGCGTATTCCCCATTGAGTTCTTCGTATTGAAAGTTGAGATAGGCGCAAAATTTATTTCTCGTTAATACGAAAGCGGAAACAGTGCTCGAAACACATTGCTAAAAAGGAAAAAGGAAATCTGCGATCGCGCCAGTCATATCTCATTTTATGACGGTCTTTTACGTAATCAGCTGTAATATAATTCTTGATTAAATCGTAATTTCAAATTATTCATAACGCGTTTGGAAAGCGTGGACAGGTAGTGTAACGCGAATAAATTTTAACCAAGATCGATTATTACATTTTGTGGAAAGTAATGAATTATGATGTGTGTGTGTGTGTGTGTGTGTGTGTGTGTGTGTGTATGTGTTCAATAATATCAACGAAAATACGAATTAATCCTATCTCAGGCTAAAGAGAACATGGCGTAAAATAGGTGAAAATCCATGCATTCGTCGAAAAAAAAAACAGCATAGCAATTTCGACGTATTAAAGAGGGGTGCGCGTACGTCAATGGTAAATGGGCAAATGGATCCGCCGTTCGGGCGTAAAAAGCCGTAAGAATCAATGGATAACATTGTTGGATGATATCCCCCGTATCATCCCCCGTGCCGGCGCATAGGCGGCACTGTTTATGCAGCCCCCCCCCCCGGCGCGCCGCTGCAACGCGAGAGGGTGAATTTATGCGCCATACATACGAGACCGGCTCTAATGTAAACCGATCGGAGTTGCCCGTATTTTCGCTTTAAAAGGCACGAAGCCGCGGATGGCGAGCATATTTTGAAACACGATGTAGCACGAGGCATTAATACGGGATGAAGCTATACGCTTCACGACGTAAGTACGTACACCAGGTGCCACAAATGCCTTAACACATGGAGTCGCATCAATTTTTGGTGCACTCGCGGAACGTCTCGAGTTTGGACCGATGCGTCATGGCTGTTGGTTATTCGAGGAAAACGAGACATTATTATTACGGAGCAGCTGGATCTGGCAACTCGACAACTTTATGCCCGACATTATCGCTAAAGTAAATTAAAAGATAAGCTACAGATTCTTCTCGTGCAATTAGACAAACGGCAATTCTCAATTTAAATCCAGTTTAATTCGATGCTTATTTAATTTCAAGCTAATTTAAATTAAATTAAATTTATTATTATTATTGTATTATATTTGTGTATTATGCAAATTGTATAAATTACAAAATTATATTGGAATTATTAATTGTCAATAAATTTGTGTCTTTATGCAAGCAGCAAGGTTGAGACGGGTGCATTTTGTTTGATGAATTAAAATCAGAGAAATGACATTATGAAAAAATACATCAAGAATTATCTTTAAGTCCTTTTAATTCTTTAATGCAAGCCAAAGATGAATCTTTAATAATCTCTTGCTTTTTTTAAAATCATAATTTATTGGTTTTCTTTTCACTTAAATTATAAAGCGATTATTTGTAAAGATTGAAATTGGGTTGTGATAATTTTTAATTTATTTTAATTTGCAATGATTCATGATTTATACACATGATTTATATTTGCATTAATTTAATGGTTCAGATTATATTAAAATCATTTTTTTGTTCCTATAAATAATATTAGACTATGTCTAATATCACACGTCATAATAATATTTTTTCTAAAAAAAAAAATAAATAATAGATGTATTCCTAAAACTTCAGCATTCTTAGTACAGAAAAATTATAACTTTTTAATGATGCGGCTCACTATGACGAAGTACAATATCAGTGATATGCGTCGTGTTTATCATGTACATTATCCAATATACAGGATGGGAAACAGAGCTTAGAATCAATATACATAAATCAACGTCTCGTTATATCCCATCTACATAGCTGTACATAGAAACATATTTAATGGATTATTTTAATCGATATTTTATTGTGATATCGTGTTTAAAAGGTAAGACCTTAAAGTATTATTGAACTGAAAATAAACACTATACATTATTATGAGAAAATTGTGTGAATAAATAAAATTGATTAAAAAATAATATAAGATATTAAATATTAAATGTTCTTACAGAAGAACATTACATTGCTTTTATTATCAATAATTTTACAAAAATGTATCGATAATTCTTTTTAGTTGATCTGTAAGTCATGATAAATACATTAACAAAGTGTGAATTGATTTAGCATAAGATTAAAATCCATATTTTAAATTTATATTACTCTTGTTATAACACTTTATCTTTCAAATCTGTTCAAGATGTACCTTTTAGAATTCTGACAAACAAAGAAATGTACAAAATCGTGCCTGCTATATTCTGTCCAGCTTTTTACCTCGATCTTTTCGACCAAGCGTCTTGAATGCGTTTTGGATGCGGCAGATAACGCAGTCGGAAAATTATACAATGTACAACGGTCCAGTGCATATACATATTTCGTCTTGGCGGTCTAGAGGGCTGCGCATAAATCCGATTGCCTTATCGTATTTTCGGCCGTTAAGAAACAGGGGTGGCTACAACGCGGTGAGGTGGCGGGACACTGACAAACGGCTTGCCAGATCCAGACGACACTATCCCTCTGTCGCATTTACACGAGAGCAATATCCAGGCGATTCACACGGTTTAATAGGCACCGCGGAACCGGCACGTTTCTGTCTCACCGTTTTGTCCATGTTGGTTTTTGCAAAAAGAAAAACGCCAGAAATCAAGGGCTGCAATTTAGACGCATCATTCACTAACAAGAGAATAAATGAGCATTG